GTGGCCAACTCGTTCCAAGGCCAAATTCGTTTTAAATACAAATTTTTTGGATACAATACGACATTTACATAAAATCAAAATACTGTGGTAAGAAGTGGGGGGGGGGGGGGGGCAACCAACCTTTCAGTGGACATTTTCAATAGTAAAGGTAATGTGGGGAAAAAATAATTTATTCCGTTTTCCGTTTCGCGTTTTAGCAACACCCGTGTTAGGGCGGGGCTCTATTGATTATATAGTGAAAATACATTAATTCTTTGAAAATCTTTTCGTTTGCTCCTGGGTTCTATGCCAATGATCCAAGTATAGACATTTATGATAAAGAAAGGTGCATCTAGCAAAATAGTTTTTTTTTAATCCCCCCCCCCCCGTGTTCAGGGGGGGTTACATAGTCTTAAAATAAATTATTAATAATGCTTTGAAATCTGCTCATTAGTATTAATCAACCTTTTTATGATAAAATTTGCAAAATTTTGAAATACATGTATGTGGCCCTGGGGTCAGTGGTTCCTTTGGGGTGAGGTGCACGACTGGTTATAAAGTGGAAGTGCATTTTCTCTTTGTTACTCTGATCTACCTCTAAGTATTAAGTAAAATAGAGTAAGCATGCTAAGTTAATAAATATGATAAGCAACGGTGCCTCTTTCAAAATTGTGAATTGTGAATAACATGCCTCTGGTTTAAAACACGAACCAAATTTAGTTGTTTGAAAGTTGTTACATAATACTCAGGTGACCTATAAGGCCCGTGAGCCTCTTGTTGGGTAATTAAGTTCCTATAATGTAAAGAAAAAAATTGATAAATAATTATCGGGTTAATTTTCTGTAAGTGATCAACCTTTAAAAGAACTAAGCAAAGAAATGTATAACCCAACAATGCCAAAAATGTACGTTTCAGTAGCAAAATAGTAGTTTATAAATATTTAAGATAAAAGAAACTGATGCTGTTAATGGTTTGAAAAGAATAATCTGTTAAGCCCAAAACAATAACAAAATAATTAAAATATATTCCTTTATTTCCTTTCACTCCAAGAATCCAGTGATTCTCAGTGAATCTCAGTTAACCTTTTGCTACTTTTAAGCCCATGAATCATCACCTCTGAAAAAGAGGGCTGGCTATATATCTGCTCACCCTAAGAATCGGCCGTCAAGACAGAGGTCGGTTCATCGACAAATATTGGAGATCAGCAGCCGCGGCAAAAAATGTTGGGTCTCCTAGTATGATTTCTACCTGAAAAGTATTTCTTTAAAAAAATTGCAGTTCTTACTTTCTAAAATTATTACGAGATAAAAAAAACCCAACAATTCATTAAATAACTCTCATTTCAGTAATTTCTTGAGAGAATGGCACGGTGCGTTGGCGAATTTCCGGGTGTTCTCTGCTGAAAACAATCAATAAGAAAGCCGTGAGTTCATATATGTACATTTAACAAGCACATTTACCCCCAAACTTCAGCCAGAGTTGTTAGTACCCGGAAAGCCTCGATTAACTAGTGAAGGATTAAATTTCATTTGTTACATTTTGCATTGATTAACCGATTTAACCTTAAAAGGTATTAAAAACAAAATATTGAAGGAGTAAAAAACAAGAAGTCTGTGAGCCAATGCACATTAGTAATATCCCTGTTCTGATGTGAATGTTCACTAATCATGTTAATATACAAAAGTTGCGTAACGGGCAGATGCACGGTTACATAGGAAGTTGATTTCAGATTTATACAAAAATGAATCCCACCTTATGACTTGCTTCAACAGTGTATGTGCTAAAATTTCAATCATCTCCAATGAGTAGTTGCTGAGAAAACTGCGATGAAATTTGGTATGAATGGTACGGACAGATGCAGTGAAACATATGGAGATAACGAACAGTATTCAAGATCAAAGGTCCATAAAACATTACAAAATAATAGCAGAGCAAACACGGACATCCGAAACATCAGAGGTGGGATCAGGTGCCATGGAGGAGTGAGCTTACCCTGCTGACCGGTCACACCCGCCGTGTGCTCATTGTCATGTTCGGGAAATAACGGAAAAATCCGTCGTCAATTCAGTGTATGTATAATGGACTAACAATAAGTATGAAAAACGTCAGCCAGCATTTGACTCAATGATAAATTGTATTTACTGCCAAGATCATTGTAGCGACCATATAACTTAAAAAATGAAGAATTTAAACGAGACTGCTGATATTATTGTTTCATCAACTTGTTTGTCAACAATTTACCTCGTTTTAGAAATTGTTCATACATAGAGCATGCTCTTGCGTATGGAATCAACTGAGATATGTAAACTCCGTATGCAGGTGATGAAGGTATATTGCTGCATAAGTAAGGGAAGTTGACGATAGAAAAGTAAGTCATCACGTTTATCATAGAGCTTCGTTGTCAGATTACCATTAAAGTCTTTTCCAAGTAGAAAAAGTTTAAAGTTTTCAAGTAGGTGTTTAGATAAACAATAAGATGACATTGGATTTAAACAAAAATATAGCCCACCAAATGGCATGCCTCAACAAAGAATGGCTTAATTTTCAATTATTTGTGATGAGTAGTTGCTGAGAACATGAACAAACAAATAAATTCCACCATATGGTAAGACTTAGGCCACGAATGGGTGGCTTGCATATTGCTATGAACTTTATGAAATGTGTAGTAGATCATATGAGTGGTTCTTGTTTGTATGAACTCTGGATGGAAAGTTAAATTCTTGGACCTGTTGCTGCTCAAAATTTTCTAGCAAGGGAGCATTTTTGTCGCGATATGAGAGCCCATAAAAAACGACTCAAGCTCTCAGAAAGATCCTGCTTCTCAACAGTCATAAATATTGAATGATATGATGAATGAACAGACAGGCATGGGGTCTACAATAAATGTAGTTTAGAACAACTGCAGAATACTGTGTTGAGGGATTTTCTTTTTTTTAAAGATTGAAGAAAGGGTCTCCTGGTTACAAATTGGGACAGAGACGTTTGTGGATTTATATTTGCATTCATTCAAGGCAATACCCCTATGGTTCTTTCGGTATGGTCATTTAAACTATTACAGATGTGGTAGTGTATATCTTGCTGATTGTCACCAATGGCCGCGTGATGAGTTTAAGCAAGGCAAGTTTGTTATCAAAAAAAGTCTTGGAACATTTAATCAAGTGGATCCAGATCATTTTCGTGCCAGTACCCACTGAGACACGGGACGTCGGTTTATTCGGTCTAATCCTGCATTGCAATGGACCAGTTGCAATGTCAACTCTGTACTTCGCGACTCTGGAGAAGATGCTTTAAGTACTGCACCATGCAAATACTAGTAATCTGCAATGTTTAGCTATGCAAAATAAAAATCTGAAACAAAGAAAAGTGTATAAAGAATACCTTAATATTATATAAAAGCAGAGAAAATTCGGTTTTAGGGAGAAATGGGCTTTCTTTTATCAATTTTTCGTTGATATTCAAGTAATTTCAAAAATATATAATTGATGTATATTTGGTTATTTTGGCATACTTTTTTCGCTTGAACGGCAGTAAATTTGGGGGGAAATTCGGGTATCCGCCATCTCTTATCACCTTTTCCTTTAATCTTCTTGACGCCAATTTTACTCGGCGTATTTTTTTCAGAATCTGCATCCGCGAATAAATCGGACCAGATTAGTACTTATTTGCAATCTTCAAGATTTTTGTTAAGTTTGTATCATATGTAATTAAAGTGAGATTACACTGACGAAGAAAATGAGACACACATGGTCACGGTCCACTAGTCCGAATGTTCATTAGTCCGAAAACCCACTATTCCGAAAGTTCACTAGTTCGAAGGTCCACTAGTCCGAAGCTTCATGAGTGCGAAGGCCCACTTGTCCGAAGGTTCACTAGTCCGAAAACGCAATATAGTTCGTAAGTTAAACAGTTAAGTGTCAGGCTCTGTGCAATTGTTCTATATTGTATCCTAATTAACAATTCCTGAAGTTTGGGGCTGAAATTCGAAGCACAATATACTGGGACTAAAATTATTATTTTGATAAAATAAAAATGGACTAAAATTCCAAACCAGGGTTTTTTTTTCTTTATATTTTGCATATTCCCGCATTTCAACTCTTTCTCCACCTTCATGCCTGTGAAAGTGGCCTTGTACATGTAGTAGGGCGCTCAATTTGTGATCGGACCCGGTTTCGAATCTCACGATGCGTCATTTCTAAGTCGTTGAAGTAGGGGAAGTCCTTAAGATAATAGATAGATACTTACTTTTTCCTACTGGTCTTTTTGAATTTGACCTAAAATACGAGATTCCTTTTTGCCGAAGAAAAAATCCAAAAGGAAGCATCCAATTAAGTAAGTGACAGTCTTTGATCTGCATATGCCTCTATAATTTTATCGGTAATGTTCTCAATTAATTCTACATATGCAGTATGAACAACATTGGCAAATTGTGGGTTGGGTGTTGGTATCAAGTTCATGTGTTAAACAAGTAAATCGCATGAATTTTCCTTCCATCTTCATTAACACCAAGCACGATAAATTTAGTTGCTGTGGAATACCGCACTGTATCAAGTATCATACCGGTAATTTTACTTAGTCAATTATAGCTCCAACTGTTTAAAGTTTTTTTTTTCTTTTGAATTTTTTTTTTAATTTCTTACATGTCTATGTTTACAATTTGTTTTGGTACTGGTCAGGTGCAATTTACATACTCTGTAAATAAATAAATAAAAGTTTTCGACAGGAAACTATTTTTGCACGGCATAGGAGGCTACTTCCTTGGGTAATGAAGTTTTTTTTTTTAATTTTGAAAATGGAAAGAAATTAGATCCACCACTCCAAATTTGCTGCCTTATATTGTTTTGGTAGTTGTGCATTTGTTACATTAAAAGTTTATAATTTATCAATTTATACTTGTCTATAACGAAATTGTTAACGATAAGTTTAAATTGTGATTTACATCAAAATATATACACCTTTGTTAACTCCATCGGAATGTATATGACAAAATTTGAGAGTACCAATTAATTTCCCATAGAACTCTATACAAACCTTTTGCCCTCCAAGTAATTTACTAATTCCCGTTCAAACAAATCACTGGTATTATTTGAAAGTTCGTTCTAAGCACTTATTAAAAACACGAAAAAAAATATACCGTTCCGCGGCGTTTATAGGTCAAATTTGCAGTTATTTAGAACTTACAGAGATCGGCAGTAAATGACACCCTGCCAAAAATATCAATCCCCACTCCTACAATCTCCCCTGGTATTTCTAGAATTTTTGTAATATTCCCACATTCCATCATTTATTTCAAACATTAATATTTTTACTTTAAAATGAAAATATTTACATACCTCAATTCAGCCAATCAGGTAAAGCCTACCCATTTATTACTCTGCTTCATCTTGTTCAACCAGGAAATGATGTCAAAATCTGGGTCTTTGGTGCTCTTTTTCCTATACTTACATATTTACCTATCCCAGAATTAGTCAATTTTGTAATTTTCAAAGACCTTATACTTACCAATATACATGTATGAAATTTGAGGCCTGTCACTTCAGTGTCTTGGAATCTGTGGCCATCTTAATGAATGTCCCCTCCCTGCTGCAGGTGCTTTTCCAAAGAGTGAAAAACTTTCATTCCTGTGATGAAATCTGGATACAGTTGTCACTGTAATGAATAAAATATTTATAAAATAACATGATTTTGTTTTTTGATGTTAATAAAATGATATAAAGTCATAATTGTGTCAATTTTTTCATAGGGGTGGAATCTACCCAGAATAAAGAAAAAAGGTCCAAAATTTGATAAATCATAATTAATTAAGCAAAATTAAAAGGTTTTAAAAAGACTGATATAGAAATTTTCTTATGCTTATGAAAAGTAAATTGTTTGAGACTCTGATATACTAAATGATTCTTATCTAACCCCTCCTGTTGCTTAAGTATATACAAAAAAGTTTCCCCACCCCCCAGTGAAAGACACTTAGAGAAATAGCAGGTGCCCTATTATATTTGTTTACAATTTATATTTGTTTACAATTAATTCAGACAAGAGAAAATTAATACTTTTGATAACAAATCAAAGTGCAGTGTCTGATAGTCTTATACAGTACAACCATAATCTACATTATTGAATTTCATGCTTTAAAAAGGGGAATTCAGATTAATTTGTAAAAAATTAAGAAATGCAATAATTGACTTAAAACCCCAAAATGTACACCACAATAAGAGGCTGAAAAGTTAATAAATGAAAAATTTACCTGCAATGTACAGAAATCTGTCCGACAAAATATATCGGGTGGGTAGCGAGTCTCCATCTTCTTCTTATATAGAGAAAATGCCCCCCGCCGATCAGATACCAAGCTCTCCCGGGTCCAGGAAGCTGAAATATGAAAGTCCTCTATAGTCTTTAAATGAAAATAAATCAATAAAGTTAGTCAAATTAAGCATAAATCATAAAGAAAACAGCAATATTTTTCAAGTTTTCTGAAAAATTACCAAATTACATATCTTCTACATGGCCGAATGTTTAAAAAATGGATCCGTCAAGGGTGGAATACATGTTTTACAATTTTACATGTAATTACATGTAAATATTAGAAAAGTCAAATGTGATACATGCAGTAATGCCATTCCAATAATTCAAGAAAACAAAATCAGAAGCCTAAGGTCACAATAATTAAGATTATATCATGTTGAAATTCTACATATTTGGTTAGCTAGTCTAAGGGAAGTAACTCTAAGTACAAAAACTGGAAAGCAGTAGAAAATGAGTTGCAGAGAGTCACCCTGATGGAACTACAAAGAGCAAAAAGAGGGAAAACACATACCTTTGTGTAGCTACAATATAGAAACAACCAAACTACAAACTGATCCCCCCGCAGTCAAAGGGAGGCAATCCAGAGGATCACATACACTACCGACATGATACGTCAAGACAGAAAATGACCTCCTTTCACATGAACACCACGAAACGCACTTTTAAGGGCCGAATAAATTATTCGAAAAGATACCAAACGTGCAGACGTATATAAGAAACTAAACAAAAATTAACACCAGGCCACCATCCTACACTTCCAAAAGTACACATATATAGCAAATCATATAAATACACAATTACATGTACATGTAAAATACATACATAAATTTATGAATACATACAAACATTTATTATAAGATCAATCTGATACATTTTCTTAACTTACCTTTCTCCTATGGCCAAGTCAACTACACATTGTTTTACCAATTTCCATCCTCTGTGATAACAAATCAAAGTGCAGTGTCTGATAGTCTTATACAGTACAACCCCCCCCCCCCCCAGATTAATTTGTAAAAAATCTCTAAAAAAGACCCAAAATCACCTCTAACCCTAATTCCACAGATAAATAATTCAAATTTTTGCTAATTTTTCTCTCGAAATGTCTTCAATATTCAAATAAATTGCTAAAAATAACTTTTCATGACTTTCACTTCACTTTACTTATTAAAAAATGGGGTCTCTATAGGGAAAAGAGTACCAATTAATTTCCCATAGAACTCTATACAAACCTTTTGCCCTCCTTATTAAAAAATGGGGTCTCTATAGGGAAAAGAGTACCAATTAATTTCCCATAGAACTCTATACATCTACCTTTTGCCCTCCAAGTAATTTACTAATTCCCGTTCAAACAAATCACTGGTATTATTTGAAAGTTCGTTCTAAGCACTTATTAAAAACACGAAAAAAAATATACCGTTCCGCGGCGTTTATAGGTCAAATTTGCAGTTATTTAGAACTTACAGAGATCGGCAGTAAATGACACCCTGCCAAAAATATCAATCCCCACTCCTACAATCTCCCCTGGTATTTCTAGAATTTTTGTAATATTCCCACATTCCATCATTTATTTCAAACATTAATATTTTTACTTTAAAATGAAAATATTTACATACCTCAATTCAGCCAATCAGGTAAAGCCTACCCATTTATTACTCTGCTTCATCTTGTTCAACCAGGAAATGATGTCAAAATCTGGGTCTTTGGTGCTCTTTTTCCTATACTTACATATTTACCTATCCCAGAATTAGTCAATTTTGTAATTTTCAAAGACCTTATACTTACCAATATACATGTATGAAATTTGAGGCCTGTCACTTCAGTGTCTTGGAATCTGTGGCCATCTTAATGAATGTCCCCTCCCTGCTGCAGGTGCTTTTCCAAAGAGTGAAAAACTTTCATTCCTGTGATGAAATCTGGATACAGTTGTCACTGTAATGAATAAAATATTTATAAAATAACATGATTTTGTTTTTTGATGTTAATAAAATGATATAAAGTCATAATTGTGTCAATTTTTTCATAGGGGTGGAATCTACCCAGAATAAAGAAAAAAGGTCCAAAATTTGATAAATCATAATTAATTAAGCAAAATTAAAAGGTTTTAAAAAGACTGATATAGAAATTTTCTTATGCTTATGAAAAGTAAATTGTTTGAGACTCTGATATACTAAATGATTCTTATCTAACCCCTCCTGTTGCTTAAGTATATACAAAAAAGTTTCCCCACCCCCCAGTGAAAGACACTTAGAGAAATAGCAGGTGCCCCCTATTATATTTGTTTACAATTAATTCAGACAAGAGAAAATTAATACTTTTGATAACAAATCAAAGTGCAGTGTCTGATAGTCTTATACAGTACAACCATAATCTACATTATTGAATTTCATGCTTTAAAAAGGGGAATTCAGATTAATTTGTAAAAAATTAAGAAATGCAATAATTGACTTAAAACCCCAAAATGTACACCACAATAAGAGGCTGAAAAGTTAATAAATGAAAAATTTACCTGCAATGTACAGAAATCTGTCCGACAAAATATATCGGGTGGGTAGCGAGTCTCCATCTTCTTCTTATATAGAGAAAATGCCCCCCGCCGATCAGATACCAAGCTCTCCCGGGTCCAGGAAGCTGAAATATGAAAGTCCTCTATAGTCTTTAAATGAAAATAAATCAATAAAGTTAGTCAAATTAAGCATAAATCATAAAGAAAACAGCAATATTTTTCAAGTTTTCTGAAAAATTACCAAATTACATATCTTCTACATGGCCGAATGTTTAAAAAATGGATCCGTCAAGGGTGGAATACATGTTTTACAATTTTACATGTAATTACATGTAAATATTAGAAAAGTCAAATGTGATACATGCAGTAATGCCATTCCAATAATTCAAGAAAACAAAATCAGAAGCCTAAGGTCACAATAATTAAGATTATATCATGTTGAAATTCTACATATTTGGTTAGCTAGTCTAAGGGAAGTAACTCTAAGTACAAAAACTGGAAAGCAGTAGAAAATGAGTTGCAGAGAGTCACCCTGATGGAACTACAAAGAGCAAAAAGAGGGAAAACACATACCTTTGTGTAGCTACAATATAGAAACAACCAAACTACAAACTGATCCCCCCGCAGTCAAAGGGAGGCAATCCAGAGGATCACATACACTACCGACATGATACGTCAAGACAGAAAATGACCTCCTTTCACATGAACACCACGAAACGCACTTTTAAGGGCCGAATAAATTATTCGAAAAGATACCAAACGTGCAGACGTATAAGAAACTAAACAAAAATTAACACCAGGCCACCATCCTACACTTCCAAAAGTACACATATATAGCAAATCATATAAATACACAATTACATGTACATGTAAAATACATACATAAATTTATGAATACATACAAACATTTATTATAAGATCAATCTGATACATTTTCTTAACTTACCTTTCTCCTATGGCCAAGTCAACTACACATTGTTTTACCAATTTCCATCCTCTGTAACCCCCCCCCCCCCCCAATCTCTACAAAAGACCCAAAATCACCTCTAACCCTAATTCCACAGATAAATAATTCAAATTTTTGCTAATTTTTCTCTCGAAATGTCTTCAATATTCAAATAAATTGCTAAAAATAACTTTTCATGACTTTCACTTCACTTTACTTATTAAAAAATGGGGTCTCTATAGGGAAAAGAGTACCAATTAATTTCCCATAGAACTCTATACAAACCTTTTGCCCTCCAAGTAATTTACTAATTCCCGTTCAAACAAATCACTGGTATTATTTGAAAGTTCGTTCTAAGCACTTATAATTCCCGTTCAAACAAATCACTGGTATTATTTGAAAGTTCGTTCTAAGCACTTATTAAAAACACGAAAAAAAATATACCGTTCCGCGGCGTTTATAGGTCAAATTTGCAGTTATTTAGAACTTACAGAGATCGGCAGTAAATGACACCCTGCCAAAAATATCAATCCCCACTCCTACAATCTCCCCTGGTATTTCTAGAATTTTTGTAATATTCCCACATTCCATCATTTATTTCAAACATTAATATTTTTACTTTAAAATGAAAATATTTACATACCTCAATTCAGCCAATCAGGTAAAGCCTACCCATTTATTACTCTGCTTCATCTTGTTCAACCAGGAAATGATGTCAAACTAAAATCCTATAGTTCTTTTAATAATTAACATTTTGAAGGACAGATGATTTCTTAAATCTGCCACCCTCTCCTAACCCCCCCCCCCCCCCCCACAAGAATCAAATGGTCGTTCCTTTATTACCTTTTAAAAATCGGATTATTAGGGGAGGGATTCTATTATATAGCACTTTTTTTTTTTCATTTTAATGGATTGTGATTTAAGTCTTCGGTACTATTTTGAAGAAAGCTCAAATCAAGGTTGTCTAACTCTTTTTCGTATTAAACCAATACGAACTTTTCTTTTGGTTCTTAGTGAGATCGTTGTTGTTATCGTTAATACTACAATTTCGAAACAAAACATGTGCATTATATTCTTCAAGAAAGCATTAAAAATCGAGTTATTGTTATGTATCGATACATCATATCGAACCCCACCCAATTTGTATCCAAATGCATCGATGTATTATTATAAAAATCCATCAGCAGGTTATCGTGACGTATTTTTGGTTGCTTGTTGAAGATGCCTTGGTAGGGAGAGGTATAACAATCCTTTTTTTAGTGCTCTGACTGTTCATTATATGCCGGAATATTATCAAATATAGTTTGTTCTGTTAAAGCATTCCCAGCAATTTTTAAACAAAAATTCCTTCTTCTTTTACTTTTCCACAGCTGAAAGAACCTCTCCAACGCTAATTGAAAAGCTTTCAGCAGTAGCAGCAGCTTTTTTTCCACCGGGGATAATAGTAGTTGATTAATTCTTGGTGCTCCAGTCTCATTATATTATTTGTATAATCTACGACTGGAAGATGTAAAACCACTTTCACTTCGGAAATGAACACATCAATGGAAACAATAAGGGTAACAGTAATAATTGTAAACATAGCTTTTATATCAGCCCGAACTACTATATCTCAACATTATGAACAAATTTATGAAAATGTAAAATCAGTCATTTTTTTTTTTAGATGTGCGAACATATTCCCATGCCCAGCAAGTATTGTAGAAGAACATCAATTCAAAATGGCGCTTAACAAGTGTTTTGAAAGGCCAGCCCTTCTTTATCCTTTGCCCTCGTCATGTTAAATGCAAATAACTGACACCCAAATCCGGGACACCCTCACAAACAAAATTTACATTCCATATATGTTTCAAAGCGTGTATATGGTCAAAAGAGGTAAATTCTAAAGCATGTCATAACTGAATTACGGCTTCACAGGGAATGCTTAAATATGAACACCTGTGTTTGAGAAGCTTATAGTAAGACCGACGTACTCTGGTTCTATTGTCAGTGTGGGCTTCCGAATTTCAACACCAGCCTCTTTGACGATATTGATTTGTCCAGCATGGAAAAAGCTTTGTCATGCCATTACACTAGTCACATTTCCGTGGTGTCTAATAACTTTGACCCTGACGAAGTAGGACCACCCCAGCACGCGTCGTCACAACAAGCTTCAAACAAGAGTTTGTCAAAAGAAAGTTAAGTGTTATAATCGTCAAATTCCAAAGCATCAAAGCCAAAGGAGAGCCCCTATGGAACTACCAGTCGGAAATTGACTCTGACATTATCATTGTCACTGAAACCTGGTTACATAAGTGAAAATATTTCCTTTGAAAAGGAAGTCCTCCCAGAGAACTATCAGTTCCTTTATCGGCTAGGCGACCCACATGAAGGCGTAGCAACCATCCCCAATTCCAACATTGCTGGGAGCCATGTTGATACAGACACTACCACAGAATTTAGATCTGCTGCGATTACCTGAAAGCACAGTAGAGATCCACTGGTCATCGGTTCACTTTACCGCCCACCAAGCAGCAAGGTAGCATTCTTAGAGGAGTTGTGTTTAGCTGTCAGGAACCTTGCCACGAGACATATGGATTGGAGGCGAACAGGCACATACCAAGCCCGGGCCTAAGTGATCCTGACACGGTACAAATATAAACCTGATAGAAAACGAAATATTAAAACCATACTGTGTGTGTCATGTTTCATTATGTAAGGAAGATCAGTCCTTGACGAAGACAGAGTTCGAGAAACCAGGGCGCATCATCATGCACCAGTCTCTTCTGCTGTGGAGGTAAATTTACTCTAACACGGCGGAAACGTGTAACTTCTCAAAAGGTTGGCACAGACGATTTGCCAATATTGTTGGTGTAGCGCATCCGGATATTTACAAGTTCATCGCTTCTCTTAATTAAATCTGAACAAGCTCCGACAGATATGGCCAAAAAGGTCGGCAATATTAGATGTAGTTTGTGATTTAATGAAAAAATAGATTCAAATCTATACTAGATTCTAAACTCTAGAATTTTAAATGTAGTTAGAGATTCCGTAGAAAGGACAAAAACTTCCTATCGGCTGTATCTGGAGGGGTTGGCACACAACTTTAATACTCAAATTGATATACTTGTTCATGTAAAAAAAAATGAAAATAAGTACATTCACATACACGATTTTCCTGATTTTGTAAATGGTGTCGGTGTATTATAGACTGTATTATGTACCATGGCATCGTCATTTTATAATTGACACATGGTGCAATCCGAATGAAAAACAGTCGAACGGTTCAGCCATTTATGGATTGATTGCCTGTTGTTTAACGTCCCTCTTGAGAATATTTCACTCATGGAGACGCAACCACTTTCCGGTGGAGGGCTACAAAATTTGTCCTTTATTCGGCACTTAGGGCTATTGCGCAGGGGGGGGGGGGGGGTCTTTTCGTGTCAGCACCTATTGGGACACGGGACCTCGGTATATACGGTCTCATCCAGAGGACCGATCTCTACGTCCCGCAGTGGGATTCGAACCCGCTACGTAAGAATCAATTACTAACTTCACGACTCTAGAGCACACGCTCTAACCGCTGCGCCACGCGATTGACTATTTATGACAGAAAGCCAATATAGCAAAGATGGCAGAAGATCTCGACCATGACTTTGCACACTTCCTTGACAACTCAACATATAACACTCCCATAAATGAACTTTGAACCATCTTTTAGACTATCTGTCACAACACCATCAAAAAGCATGTACCAACGAAGTGGACCTCAACCAGATTTAATCAACTATAAAAAAAATAATGAGAGACAGAAAAACAGGCGCCGGCAGAAATCAACTCAGAAGGAATGTAAGAGTGCCTCTAATTACTAGTATGTATTGGATATGGTGCAGGAGGATTCTAACAGCAAGAAACTCTGCTCCTTCAATAGATGATTCAAAGACGGAGGCAGGGTTGATACCGCTCTAGTGGTCAATAACAATAGTTTTTTTTTTCTGTACGACTTCCAAGTAGCAAAGAATTTTACTACTGAAGCAAAAACTATTTGACTAGCTTTCGAATATACGAGTCGCCCGCGTGGCGCAGTGGATAGAGCGTCTGCGAAGAAGTCAATCTTTACGTCGCGGGTTCGAATCCCACTGTGGAACATGGAGACCGGTCCTTCGGATGAGACCGTTTAAACCGAGGTCCCGTGTCGCAGTAGGTGCTGGCACGAAAAAGATCCCTTCCTGCTCAATGGCCCTGAGTGCCGATCATAGGACAAAATTTGCAGCCATCCACCGGAAAGTGGTGGCGTCTCCATATGAGTGAAAAATTCTCGAGAGGGACGTTAAACAATATACAATCAATAGAATATATAAAAAAAACTTAAAGTAAAAATTCATTTACAATATTGTATCGCTTGCGGAGCAGAGCGGCACTAAGGGATCACTTTACCGGCGTCTGTCTGTCTGTCACACCTTGTATTTTAAGAACTGTGAGAGATATCGACTTGATATTTTGTACATTATTGCTTGGTACAGTGGCATTTTTAAATTACCACGATTACCGACCTCGTGACCCTTGTCCTTTGACCTTCTTTATAAAAAGTTAAAAGTGCCAATATACTACATATTTTTGACATTTAAGGGGTAATTCTATGCTATTTAGCATGTGCACTGATTGTCTCAAAACATGAAAAATACCAGCGTTACAGTTCATTTCACCTTGACCTTTGACCTACTTTACAAAGAATACCCCGTACACTTTAATTTCACTTAAAACTTTTGAGTGGCGGGGTGTTCATAATTAACATTTTTACATGTTTATGACCTCATAATTCTATTCTTTGAAAATATATGATATTCAGTTACCACGCAAACTGAAATTTAAGTATTATGAAAAACATCGGGATCGGGATCCCTCAACAGATCGTGTAGAGCGACAGTTGGTGTAAAGACTGAGAAACACGTATGAACACATGCCCCCCCCTTTTTTTTCCAACATTACCTTTACTATTGAAAATGTTCATTGAAAGGATGTTGCCCCCCCCCCCCCCACTTGTTAACCCAGTAAAAGGATATCAAGGAAATGTAG